AAAATAATAAAACTTTTAATAATTTTGTGCAATAAATAATAAAGAATAATGATATTAATAACGCAACACCATAACATTCTCTACAATTGCCCAAGTCTCTGTATGACTTCGTGTGCTTCAGTACACCAACAAGACCAACTATGATGATGATGATGATGATGATGATGATGATGATGATGATGATGATGATGATGATGATGATGATGATGATGATGACCACGATGATGATGATGATGATGATGATGATGATGATGATGATGATGATGATGATGATGATGATGATGATGATGATGATGATGATGATGATGATGATGATGATGATGATGATGATGATGATTGTTATTTTTAACAAGTACATATTCATTAATATTTTTATCATAGCCTCACACATTTTTCTTGCTGTTTGCTCTGTAATCATTTTTTTTCTATAATCCCTGTTGCTACTGGAACCGCTGGAATAATTAATGCTGCTATTGTAATCGGTTTAGTTGTAGCTTTATCACTGATTATCTATTAATAGCTTCAACTTGATATCGTTATTCTTCTGTTTTTACCGTCCAGGTTAATGTTTTATTATTATTATTACTATTATTATTAAATTATTTTATTATTATTATTATTATTATTATTATTATTATTATTATTATTATTATTATTATTATTATTATTATTATTGTTGTTATTGCTGTTGTCGATGATGTTGTTGTTGCTGTTATCATTATTATTTCTACTATTATTATTATTTTCATCGTCATTGTCAGTATTTTCATTACTGCATTCGTATTCTTGTTGTTGTTACATTATATTAGTCATCATTCTTTTTAGTGGTTATAATCAATGCTATATGACACATTGTGTCATGACACGGAAGGATCCGACGATTATCTGCCTTTGAATAGATGGAGTTATTGGTAAAAACATAAAACTTGTTCATTTTTCTTTCTGTTTAATGAAAGAAGTACCCAACTTTCTAAAATACAAGTGGAGATATGAGCCTTTGATCAATGATTTTCTGGGGAATTCTTGCAGAAAAGAGATTTGACATGAACATTAGAGGTGCTGAGCCTCCCCTCCCCCCCAACCCCTTCCGAAACAAAAATGAAAAAACAATGTATTACCTAAACGGGCAGAAAAATATCTATTTTCTTCTTTTGACGAGCGCCTGATATCACGTGATGCCACACATAATACATTTGTTCAAAAAGCATCTTCTTCATCATCATCATCATTACACTCATTATTACACTAACAGTAAGCCAAAGAGAAAACCCCAACAGAAAACAACACCCCCCCACCCACCCCCCACCCCCGCTCCTCCCCCCCCCCAAAAAAAAATTAATTGAAATTAAAATTAAAATTAAAATTAAAAATAAAAGAAACAAACAAATAAATACGTGAAATAGAAGTAAGCAGAACAAAACAAAACAAAATAAAAATACATGTACAAAATAAGAAAAGCACGTTTGACTAAGAGTACAGTTTATCACTCAGCGTCTGGTTTACGCTTTATACATTGTACTCCTTATTTGTTTACGCCTCATTTATTTAACAAAAAACAAAACAAAGAAACAAACAAACAAAGATTAACTTCATCAAGTTCCCGACATAGTTGTTCATATTATCATTCTTCATTCATTTACCCCTTTGTTGCATGAAAGTGATTTATGTTATTATTGAGGTTATGTTTGTAGAATCCTGTTTCCAATCCTTTATCGAAACATTGTTTCATAGTTTTGGGTAATATTTAATTTATTTCTCATTCAGTTTTTAAAAAATGATTTATCTTTATTTGTATTATTTATTCATTTGCATAATATGCAGATAAATTTAGACATAACATAATTTATTTCATTATTGTTTTGTTTGGTCTATATTGCCACCAGCACAGTCTGCCATAATCTCCTGTGTCAGAGTTATCTCTCTCCTCCGTTACCACCTGATTGTGGGGCAGTGTCTGGGGGAGCCCTGGGTGGGACCAGAGAGGGTTTAGTGGGACTACTGGTTAGTTGAGGCGGGGGAGAGAGGGAGAGAGAGAGAGAGAGAGAGAGGGAGGGAGAGAGAG